TTCCCCAGTTGAGTACTGATATCTAAGAGGAAGAAAAACATGTTCTACTGTATTTAGGCTTTTCATTTGGAATAAAGGCATTTAATGTGTTTAAAAATTGAAAGAATATAACCAATATTCAGGGCATTCATAACTAATTTTATGGGGTTGTTTCAAAACTCACAAGATCAAGAAGGTCTCAGACAATTCATGACAATATGTTCTCTTCTGTCAGCTCTAAACAACATAGGTACACGGTTATTTGGGGGCAGGAGGAAAACAAGAACATGCTTCTTACATTTCCCATCCTCTCATCATTTATGAAAGCCACAAAAATAAAAGTTGACTTCTTTCACACTAACAAATACACATTCAAACTTCCCCCCCAAAACAGGAAGCTTCTCACACACTGATAGTTTTCTCCAATGACTTGCACCCCGAAGTTTTCAGAGACAATCCAAAGAAAGCATTAGCCATCCTGCTGCTGAATGAAAGGGTTTGGAATCGCTTCCATTCCATCCTGTGGACAAATCAGAACCACAGAAGTCCCTCTGCAAACCACAAGTCCCAGCTGACGTGTGTCTTCTGTTAATTTAAATTGATCATCCGGATCTAAAAAGCAGAGATCCATGGTTAGAACAGGCAAACAAATTCTATCAACTTCAAAACGCACAGACATGCATGTTCTTTCCTGGCACAGCTGCTTTGTTTTACTGAACACATGCACCATACAGGTGATGCAGCAGTGACATTTGATGTTTTCAAGACCTTACCTACAGTAAGCAATAACAAAACTTGCTCTGTATGCAACAAAAAGCAGAACACAGTTATTAAAGAATTCATAGGCCTCTAACTAAGTGATTAAAAAAAGCTCTTGATCCCATTTCAAATGTCATTATAGACAAACACTTGGGGATTAATGCAGATCAGAAAAAGACCCTGACTTCTCAATGCACTAGGGAAGAGAGCACCAGTCCATTCTAGACCAGGCCAAAGAGGGCTGGATTAGGACAAACACAAACCAACCACTTCTATCTTCCATACAGAGATATCTCTATATTCAACAGAAATGAACAACACATTTCAAAACTCTCTTTCAAAGATGAAATTCAAAGCTTCTGCGCTCCCTTTTAAACAGGTTGGAGAGTACTCTTCAAAAACACTGTCCTATCAAATGATAGCTTTTGTATCAGAGATAAAGAGACAATGCTTTATTCAAGCTTCAGAGGACAAGGGCAGCCAGTGAGATAACTACAGAGGAGCTCAAGCAAGGACTACCAGGGATGTTCTATCACAGGGAATGTGCTCAATCTAACTTCTGCTGCAGAATCACCTTTAAAGGTCATCTAGTACAGCCCCCTGCAACAAGCAGGGGCATCTTTAACTAGACCCAGTTGCTCAGAGTCCCATCTTTGAATGCTCCCAAGGATGGCACCTACCACCTCTCCGAGCAGCTTGTCCCAGTATTTTTACCATACTCATTACAAAAAAAAAAACTGTTTTCCTTAGGTCTATATCTTCTGTTATATCTACATTGGCCCTCCTTTAGTTTAAACCCATTACCTCTTGCTCTGCCACAATGGGGCCTGCTGAAGCATTCACCCCCTGGCATTTCCTTTTATGTCCCTTTAAAACTGAAAGGGCACAATACCATCTGCTCAAAGATCTCTCTTGTCCAGGTGAGCATTTCCTTTTATGTCCCTTTAAAACTGAAAGGCCACAATACCATCTCCTCAAAGATCTCTCCTGTCCAGGTGAGCAGGCCCAGCTGTGCCAGGCTGGCTCCAGAGCAGAGGGGCTCCAGCCCTGGCAGCATCTCCGTGGCTCCTCTGGCCTGGCTGCAGCAGCCCCACGTCCTCCTGCTGCTGTTGCCCAGGGCTGGGGCAGCTCTGCAGGTGGGGTCTGACCTGAGCCCAGGGGCAGAGGGGCAGAATCCCCCCCTGGGGATGAACCCCCTCCCTGGTAGGGATGCAGCACAGGATACAGCTGGCTTTGTAAGCTGCAAGCACATATTGTCCAGCCTCTCATCCACCAGCAAGTCCAAATTCCTCTCAGCAGGGCTGCTCTCAATCTATTCATCCCCCAGCCTGGGTCTTGCTGAACCTCATGAGGTTCCTTTGGGCCCTCTTCAAAAACTTGTCCAGGTCCCTATGGATGGCCCCATCCTTCCGGTGTGTCACCTGCAGACTGAGGGTGAACTTGATCCCACTGCCTACATCTCTGATGGACACTAAACAGTACTGGTCCCCAGAGATCTCTGAGGGACACCCCCTGTCCCTGATGTTCACGAGGACACGAAGCCATTGACTACTACCCTCTGCATATGACCACCCAACCAATTCCACATTCACCAAACAGTCCACCCATCAAATCCATTCCTCTTCAATTTAGGGAGAAGGATGTTGTGGGGTGTGGCAGCTGCTCTCAGGCCACAGAGAGCAACAGACAACTTTCCCAGGCCTTTCTGGGAAAAGGCTGTGAGAAGCTCAGAGAGAAAAATGAGAAATAGTTCTTATCTTGGCCTGCTGCACCTGTTATTGTGAACATGTGGAATGTGTTATGGAGGTTTGCTTACCAAAGGGTGATTTCTTAATTAGCCAATGGTGATAGTGTTTGGATTGGAGGACCAATTCAGTCCAGGTGTATCGTAATGGTCTATAAAAGCAATGGGTTTCTTAATAATGATATATATAAATATATATGTATAAAATAAAAATATTAACCAGCCTTCTGTGAACCATGGAGGCAATGCTAATTATTACCCAGCCGGGGGCCCACTGCTGCGACAGTGGGGGACTGTGTCAAAGGCCACTGGGTTGTTCAGACAGGATTTTCCCTTGGTAAAGCCATGGTGGATGTCTAAAATCACCTCCCTGTCCTCCAAATGTCTTAGCAGAGCTCCAAGGAGGATCTTTTCCATGATCTTCCCAGGCACAAGAGGTCAGGCTGACAGCACAGTAGTTCCCAGGCTCCTTTCTTCCCTTTTGAAAAATGGTTTCAATGTTTCCCTTTTTCCCATTGTCTGATTGCCATCACTTTTTAAATGTTTTAGAGTAGCCTGGGAACTGTAACAGCCAATTCCCTCAGGAACATGCTATCAGGTCCCATAGACCCGTCACCTTATGCCTTTCTTTACAAGACAGTTATCCCAAGCATGCTGCAGTTTGGGTGATGTTAATCTGCAGTTTCTGCTTTTTCACTTACAGAGCTCTAAGATTTCTGTCAAGAAAATCACCCAGGGAAGGGAAGCTTTCCAAAGATTGCACATTACTTACCTCGCATATACTCAATGGTACCATCCAGCACAAGGTTCAGAAGAGGGTCAAATCCTTTCAAGACACCACTTGCTATTGAAGACCACACAGAAAACAATGATTAGGACCAAAACAAGGCATACAGCAACATAAGACTTCATGAAAGGTACATTCAGTTCTCCAGGCCTGTTCCCTCCTTCAGGCAAGTCCAAACAAATAAGGCCAGAGATATTAAACAGTGTCTTCTTTATCAATGGCAAGTACACAAAAACTGGTCTGCATTGCACCAATTAAAACTTACAGACTTTTCAATCAATTCTTCCAAATGTTCTTCAAGACACTAACGTTTTTGCTTTCAGACAACTTCAAGGGCACTTTAAGAATACTGTATAACAAATCAGTACAAGTCACACAAAGAAAAAAAAAGACAACTCCAACACAAAATATCCTTAATGAAAGGTTATGGTTAAAAATGAAGCACGACCATATTTTAAGTTCTTTCCTCAGAAACCCCATCTTCCAGGCGCCCTCCTGGCACATCACGCCTTTAGCATAAGCACTGCCTCACGGGAAGGCACTGCAGATAGACCAGCACTTTGCCCTAATGGAGAACGTGATTCCACAAGACTAGGCACTTAATATATCACAGAATTACACAGAGGGACTTCCCAGTTTGACAAATACACTTCTTAGTGAGGAGTTCAAGTAACTTAAACCCTTATAAGCACAAGGCTGCAGTGGAGTTTGAAACTGCAGCACACGGTAAATAAACTCAGACAAACAAGTGCCTGCGGGTGGCACCAAGCGCACTGGGATGGACCTGCCCAGCTGGGAAGGGACGGGCATGCAAAGGCACCGTGGCATGTATTGAACCACTCCGGGCAAGCTTACCATGTCAGGAGATGAAAGGCACGACAGTTGCATTAATTGTTACATCCATAAATGTTTCTTTGTCCCTTTAAGTGCATCCTTGCAATGCAAAAAGAAAGAAAAGAAAAAAAAACCAACCCCAGCCAAAATAAGGCTGTTCAAAACAGCTAATAAAAGAAGAGATGCACAGATGAACTATAAAAGTGCACCCAGGAGATCAATGGAACACTTAAACGAGAGAACCTTCGCACCATTAAGTGCAACCACCAATAAGTCAAAGCACCCGCTACTCCCCCGCTCCCCTTGATGGGAAAGCAGCGTGAGCAGGAGGGCAGAGCCGACAGGCATCGGCTGAGGGAAAACGCCGAGAGGCCAAAGAGCTCCGTGCTGCAGCCACGCGCCGGGCTCACCTTCCCGCCCGCCCTGGAACTTCACCCGGATGGTCTTGTCGATGTACTTGGAGAGGTCCAAGATGCTCTCCTTCTTCTTCTTCTCCTTATCCTACGGCAGAGCACAGGCGGCTCAGTTAAAGCGCGCCATCCGCGGGGACACAGACCCGGAACGCCGCTGCGGGATGCCGCGGTGGCGGGACGGGGGCGCAGGTGCACCACCGGCGCCACCGGCGCCACCGGCGCCACCGGCACCACCGGCGCCACCGGCGCCACCGGCACCACCGGCGCCACCGGCACCACACTACCCCGTTCCTCACCGCCATCTTCCCCGCACCGCCGCCGCCACCACCGCCACTCGCCATTTCATTCGGCACCGCCAGAAGTGACGTCGTGCCCCGGCGGAGCCGGTTGGCGGCTCGGGGCGCTGGGGCGGGACGTCCGGGGCGGGCTCTGGGTGCCCGGTGCGGAAGGGTCCGGCCCGGCCCAGGTCGGAACAAAGCGGCGGCGGCGCGGCAGGCCCGGCATGGCGGCGCGGCCGGCCCCGCTCCGCCTCTGGCTGTTCCTGCATCTGCTGCCGCAGGTCAGTGGCCGTGCCGGGCTGTGCCGGGCCGTGCGCTCCCCGAGCTGCGCGCTTAGCCCGGCTGAGGGCGGGGAGCGGCCCCGGGCGCAGCCGGGCCCGGGCGGGCTGTGCGGCGCGTCCGACTCCGGAGCCGCCTCCCGTGGGCGCTCGGAGGTGCTGCAGCCGCCCCGCAGCGGGCCGGGGCCGAGCCGTGGCCGCAGGAAGGCAGCGGAGCGCATGGGGCTGCCGGCCCTACCCTTCCGCGATTTGGCAGTATTGATATATCTGTGGGTCTGGGGTTGTTTGAGGCTTTTTTGTGCTTTCCGTAGTAACTAGCGTTTTCCTCGTAGTTCCGAAAACTTCGGGGGCCCCGTGGGCCCAGCCCAGCATCCTCGCCAGGCAGCCCCAGGGAGGGGAGCGCAGCCGAGCCCCGGGCCAGATCCCCGCAGTGACGGCTCTGGCTTTATCCTGACTGACAAACTCCCTGAGAGGAAGCGTTCAGCAGAAAAGAAGGGATTTCTGCTGACCCTGACTCTGTAGTCTTGTCTTGAGTATTGTATTGTCATTACTAAAATATTAATTATTTTGTGGGATACGTTCTAAGGGTGTGACAAACTAGGCATGTAATCCTGATAAAGGAGAGAGTGGATTTCTAGCAATTGCATTGCATGGTATATAGCTTTTGCCTTTTAAGTTCAGTGTTTTGTGTTCTGAAAATTTTGAAGTGTCATTTAAACTTCTTGACTGTTTGTTAGGTAATTTGGAGTGTATTATGGTTTCTTGATATTATTGGTGTAACATCGTAACATGGAACTCTAATTTTTCCTTCTTCTCCCTCTGTCTCCTTACTGTTTTCTTGCCAATAATCTTTAGTTACAGAGCAGTCAGGTTGTCAGCTATCTTCTTTATTTCTGTATCATTCCCTTTTTGCATCCATTATCCTTATCTTCATTATGTGTTCATTATGCTCTTGCGTGCCCCATGCATTTTGTCATCTCCACTGATGCTTTGCAGGGACTGGTAGTGCCAGTGTAGGCCCAACAAATTAATAAGATTTAAGTAACGAATTCACAAGAATGAGTCAAATACTGGCATGGAGTCAGTTTGATCCATCAGTTTGGGGAAGGTGAGCATATGGCAGTGCAGAAGGACAGTGGGTGGATAGTCCACCAGTGGGTACTTGGAGGTCTTACGTTCAGCTCCATGCATTGCAGCACATTCCTGTCTGTAAACATTTGGTATATTTGTGCAGTGGAAGTGTTAATGTATTTGAATAAGCTTGGGCAGACTGGCCAGGGTGCTGAAGCAGTCCTGCTGCTGCAGTGAAAAGTGGATGAACTGTGTGCTGCCAATATTTTTCTGTTAGCCAAGCTGGTGTTTTAAAAATTTGCTTGAATACCTTGTATTGTGCATAACTTCTGCATCTCTTGTGCTTGGTCTTGTTGGGGTGGCTTGAGTAGCACATCCTCCTTAGTGTGAGGCAGAGAAGAGTGCTCTGCTGCACTTGTCCTGGTTTGGTACCCCTGTGACTGATGGCTGCAGTCATTCCAGGGGTCAGAACTGACAGCTGTTGTCAGGAGCTGCTGTGTGAGTTTGCTGTGTGCCAGCTGTGCTCATTCAGTGCTTTACTCTTGCCTTAGTGAGCATATACCTTTGTCTCCCTCCTTGAAACAGGATAATAGAAATGTTTTGTTTTTTTGTTTTCCCTGGGGCAAGAGGAGGTAGTGTCCACATTTGCTTCTATCTTCTGATTTAGGGAGAAGGATCAGCCTGGCTACTGAAGTATGGCTCTTCCAAATCTGGGTCCTTATCTGGGAACACTTTAAGAGTGGTGTGATCTTATAGATCCAAGTACAATCTGCACTTAGATCTTGCTTTGGTATTTGAGTTCTCACATTTCATTTAAATTCCTGTTCTTCCCAGGTATTGTTACCCCTCAGTTTCCTGTAACAACAGCAGATATGTGAGCCTTTGACTAGTGACAAACATAGCAACATGATCTGCAGCAAGTGTGTTGGATCTAGCTGGCCTTCACTATAGCAGCTTTCAGCAGAATATGTTGAATTGAGGTGATGGGTTTGTATTTTAAATTAGGGCACTCTGATATGGGTCCAAAGAATTGGAAAGTCTGTCTGAAATTCTGCATTATGGTGGTGGCTGACAATTTAAGTCTCCTGGAATTATTGCATTATGAATACATAGTTCTCTGCACTGTATTTGTTGAAGGAGTGTTTTATTTGTGTGCAGCTTTGCTGCCTGTTGTTGCTGGTCCCCAGATGGATCAGTGCAGTTCATGGGAAAGAATGACTCCAGCTCCTGGGAACTCAGACATGGTACCTACTCTAAGAGCAGGATAGCTCATTCATTCGTTCTTCAGGGGACACAGCTCCCAGTGTCTGTGAAATCTCTCTTGAGATATGAGTGGCTAGGTCAGTTAATGGAGCTGCTGAAAGCAGAAAAGGTGTATGGGACATGAGTGTGTGGGGCCAGAGGCAGGGAGGAACAAACGAGACAGACATTGGGTTGGCTCAGTCACACACACTGAAGTTTCTTGAAATACTGGTGAACTGAATTCTTCCTCTCTGCCTTCTTCTATAATTTAACTTGCAAGTCCAGTGCTTGCCTCTGAACTACATTAATTCACCTAAAAAAACTTGCACAGCAAATGAACTGGGGAGCATTCTTCTCTTTTATGCACTGATCTGTGGAAGGCCCTGATGAGATTTAGAGCTAACAAGTATGCCCTTCTATTACCACAAACATTAGGTTAGCTCATCTGTCTGTTTAATTCTGCTCTCAGATTTTACATTTCTGTTGTGTGAAAACCGTTTCCAGTTTTGCAGCTTTATAGAAAACACTTCCTTTTGTGTTAATTATACACTATTGCGTGCTTTTTAAGCCACAGGATCAATAAGATGCAAGTATTATAATATATCTTATTGTCACAGCAGCTGTTGTTTTCTGTGTTTGAAAAAGGCTGGACTTGATATCCAAACACTTGGAAAAGAGCCTTTGGTGTTGTAGGCACATTGTATAGGATTGCACAGGGGATGATATTTTCTCCTGGGTTAATTTAGGATATGAAGTGGTCTCTAGGAGTAAGGAATCATCATAAATACCTATGCCAGTGCATCAGCAGCACTGCTTGAACTTTTGTTGTCTCATACCTACTGACATTAATAAAAACAAACCTGGATGCATGAAAGTGGATAAGAGCAAACTTCAGAACTATGCTTTGCTTCTAAGTGATAATAGCTGTGTAAAAATGTCTGTTAATCCACATTATCCACAGATTATGTTCTCTACAGAGTTTCTAAAACTCTGTGTTCTCTCTTCCACTTTTAGCCCTGCTCTTATTGCCTTTAATTCCTCTCACGCTTGACTTTCATTTGGCCTTTGGAACACAAATCCACATAGCTTCTAAAATGTTTTGAGCATTTCACATTAGGAACCTTTTACTCCCTTAATATTTCTTTGAAGAACATCCATTAAATGGCTTAGAAAGCAAAATTGTGTATAACTGCCTCCCGGGTGCCTTTTAGGAATTGTTCCTGAGTTCCAGTAATGCATATCTCCACAGAAATGTAGCAACACACCCTATACTTACTCTCATTTTAAAGATGTGTGCCATATATTTCATAGATGTGAAACTTTTAACTGTACAGCTTGATTGTTTCCCATATGCATAAAGCTGTTCAATTACAGGAGAGCTCCTGCAAAACTGCCTGAAGATTTTGGAGAGAATTGTACATGTAATATTCAAAGCTAAGATCCTCCATGTTTTGTTTGTTTATCTAAGCCCAGTTAGACCACGTACAATAAGCAGGGAACATTCTTTTGTTCTTGTCTTTTGTGTGTGACTGTATTTGCATCTCTGTTGTTTGTTACTCTTCAAAATCAAATTCAAGATAAAAAGTACAGGTTATTTTTCTAAATGATTTGTTTCTGTTGTTTAGGTGCTATGGTTGGATACCTGAGATATGAGTTAACAAGTCCACTATAGCAGGGAGTTGGAGTTCTTGTTTCCTCACAGCATATGCACTGCAGTGTCTTTCTCCACAGATCTCTTGGAAACTTGCACTGTGCTCAAGTGGCTTTAATCTGCACTGAGCTAATCGGTGTGACCTCCCCTATCTGCATGCTTCAGGACAAATGTCATTGCTTCTAAAGGACTGAGTTAGCACTCATGTTATAAAAAAGAGGAAAAGTTGCTGCATATGTTAACAAAGACCATTTATATGCAGAAGAGCTAAATATGAAAATCTCTACCTCCTGTATATTTTTACCGTGATGTTTCTTTACTGCTTTGCTGACATCTTGCAGCAGAATGCCATCATTGCCTCTGGGCACACTGTGTGTGTTAAAGAGTGATTTTACAATGCAGGTGGTGAAAACTGGCACAGCGTAAAATACTAGTAAAACACAACTCCTCACTGTGTCCAGAGAAGTGGTGGGTGTCCCATCCCTGAAAGTGTTCAAGGCCAGGTTGAACAAGGTTTGGTCTACTTGACAATTTCCCAGCCCTTTGCCAGGGATTTGGACAAGGTGACTTTTAAACGTCCCTTCCAACCTAAACCATTCTGTAATTCTCAAAAGTTTTCCAAAAAACGTCTCTTTACCCTGAGTAGATTTCTGTGTAGTAGGGTTTGAAATAAAGTGGGAGAAATAAATCTGATGGATTCTTTTAATGGATTTTTGAACAAGCATGTTAAGATACGACATTTTTGCTGACTCCAGTCATCTTTAGCATCTCTGCTCATCTGCTACATGAAGAAACAGATGTGTTAGGTGTATTTGTAAGAGTGTAACTGCATAATTATCATATCATTGGTGTGTTTAGGATAGGAATGTTAAACTAGATGTTGACAAATTAGTCTGTCACAATGTTCTAATTAGTAGCAGCGATGGTTAGGGATATGATGTTATATTTATCTCCTGAACAAAGTTTCATCAGTTCTGGTAGGCACAAAGTGATTTCCTTGGGGAAAGCTAAAGCAGAGCAATAGACCAGTTAAACGTATCTTCAGTCAATGACTTCAGTTTTGCTTGAGTGCTGGACAAGAGACAGAGAGAAGGAAGAATGGAAAGGAAGGAATTGGATGTGTGGGTATGAGAGGAGTATGACACAAAGGGGGATGGTAGAAAGATAAGATGGTTGTGAGGGGAGGGGGCTTGTTTGTTTGGTTTGAGGAGATTTTGGTTGGTTGGTTGGTGGATTTTGGGTTTTTTGCAATTTCCAAGTGCTAAGTGCTAGCAAGGATTAGTGAATGTCCTCAATAAAATGGAGAAACTTCCCATTACAATAGGAAACAAATGCTCTGGGAACACAAAAATGATAAGAGGAAGAATCCAATCACATTAACAGTGTTTGGTATTCCTAAGGACTGGATTTCCAAATCAGTGAGCTGAAATAGTGTTTTGAGGCTGCTGCATTTAATATGCGGTCAACTTTTTCCTGACTATCTAATACCTTGTATGAAGCTAAAATACAGATATGATTTGCATTTGCTCTCAGCATCATCCTTTTGTAATCTATTGCCAGACAGCACTTTTTGAACATTGAAATTGCTCTGTAAGAGCACTGTGAGGCTCTAAAGCAGCAACTGAAGATCAGCAAGACTCTCCTTCAAAAAGAAGCATTGCTCTGGGTTTGTATAATTGAATTAACATTTTCAAAGTTAGGTTTTGTCCTGCTTTCTGAGCACTACATTTGTATGTGAAGCATTAAAATCTTTTTGCAGCAGCTGGTCAGATCTTAATCTGAAATTGAATTCTTAATGTGTTGATGTTCAAACCTGACCAGATGGCCACAGAATGCATATAAGCAAACTTCACACTGAGGAGCTGATGTTCAGTATTTTGTATAAAGGAAAGACATCTTGATTTACTCTTTTCCAATGAGTGGAAATGGTACCTGACAGTCCTCCCAAGACAGAGCCTGCAATCCCTGTGTTGCTGCTCTGAGGAGCAAGTGTCCTGTAGACTTGATGGCTGATTGATAAAGTGATGATGCTCTGATGCCTTCTTGTTCAAGCAAGGACAAGAGCCTCTTGTCAGAGAGAGAAGCATTGCAAGGGACCTGTTTGCCACTCAGAAATGGCCAGGAGGATTATTTCAGCATCCTTAGAACACTACAAGCAGACCTCATCATACGCTTCGTGTTTCTTAACCATTTCCAAGATCAGGGAGGATTTAAAATTATTTTGACTCAGTTAATACAGGAATGAAATCAACACTAATTAAAGGAAACCACCACTAGTGATAGGGGAGTTGTACATATTTCCACTGTTATTTTGTCTTCCTGATTCCCTGGGTAAATCTCCTAGGACTTGGGGTACAAACAGACAACTGCATCAACTCCACAAAAGTACTTTATTTTGCAGGTTATGTATATACATACATATGTATGTGTGTGTGTATATATATATATACTTTTATAGGTGATTTAGGTTCAGTTTTTTGGATGGAAGATGAGGAATATACCTAGTACTCACAAAATTGTGCCACTATACACAGGGAAGGGAAGGGTAGGAGTAGATGTTGAAAAGAACAGACCTCATCATGAAGAATGAGATTTGTGAAAACATCTGTGTTAAGGAAGTGTTTGATAGTACCTATTTGTGAGCCCCCAGATCTTCCAGTTTTGCTGGGAAATGGCCTGGTACAATCTGACCTAACCAAAATAATGAGGAAATTACTGTGTTTGCTGTGGGGTTTTTTTTTTTGTTTGTTTGTTTGGTTGGTTTTGGTTTTTTGGGTGGTTTTTTTTTTTCAGGGATGGGAAGCTCAAAATATTTGTGCTAAAATCAGCACATCTTGCAGTTAGGTGTAGTATTAGCAATTCACTGAACAAGCAAGTTATCTACTGTGTATCACAACTGAGATGTCTAAAACTGGTAGATTTGCTGCATGTTACTATTTTTATTTTTTGCTGTAGTTCTTGTTCTCTTACTCCATGTTACTACAGGATCTGGGTTCTGTTATCTCAGTTTCCATGAGTTCTTCAGGAGAATTCTAACATGTACATGATGCAAAAGATAGCTCACCTCCTTATAAAAATGAACATGAAATGCTATGGGTATGGAATATCTCTTTGTTGAATCATCTGCCTGGTTGTGGCCCCTTCCAAACCTCTTGGGCATCTCTTCACCTGGTGAACAGGGTGAGAAACAGAGAAGGCCTTGACACTCTGCTCACTATGCAGCAATGCTAAAACATTAGTTTGTTATCAGTATTGTTTTGGGCACAAAACTAAAACACTGCACCATCAGCTGCTATAAAGAAAACTAACTCCATCCCAGCCAGACCCAGGACAGGCCTTTAATAATAAATATTAGATATGTAATCTCACTACCTACGTTGTTGCAGATGTCATTGGAGTTTTGACAACAGTGACAATGGTCATTGAAGCAGTGATAAATAAATGCAGTAGGTAGACTTGAGAGTCTACATGTTCTACCCAGGACAGAAAAAGAGCTGCTGCTGCTTTGGGGTCTTGCCACATCTTCAGCAAAGGTGTCCAAGGTTGAGTTTTGGAGTGATACAAATTTAGAATTGATCATTATTTCAGGCTGTACTTTCAGGAGTTGGTATCTTATTCACAAAATCATGAAATGCTGTGGTTATATATATATGTGCACCAGTGTTGTTTCAGGTTGGCTTTTTTGTTTGTTGGGTTCGGTCTTTTTTCTTTAAACACGTCCAGTATTGTTTCATTTGATTCTTTGGCCAATTGCTGTGTAGGAGAGAATCTGCCTAATGTAGCTGAAGTCTTTCTTTGAAGCATGATGGAAATAATAACAAATTCCACTGTACTCCCTGCACAGATATGGAAACTTTTGAGACTCTTGTTTTTCTTTAAAAATACAAAGCAGGCCAGCCAACAGCAAGTTACTCCCTTCACTTCTGACATTTTATGTAACCTAAAATTCTTGTTAAATTTTTGTTACATTTTCAGGTGTACTGTGAGTATGGGATGGTGCATGTCCTTTCAGAGAAGGGGAGCAGCAAAGGGAAAGACTACTGTATTCTCTTCAACTCTCAGTGGGCCCATTTGCCACATGATCTGGGTAAAGCTGTAAGTACCTCGCTAACTAATGACAAAAAATGTATAGAAATGCCTTTGTTACAAGGAAACTTCTGATTTCTTAGTTGGATTAGTAGAATTTGAAGCAACCACTTTGTTTGTTCTGCCTAGAAAGTGTTTTATCTCCTAAGATCACTGGGCAGTGCTAGGATGGCAATGTTCATTTCCAGGCATCGTGCAGAGATAATGACTGTTGCTGTTCAAAACAAAAATACTCCTTTCAATGGTGTGATCAATGAAATTCAAATGGCACATACCTGGGCTTGCAAAGGAATTTTTGTAGTCAGCATGGTGCAAGAAGATATCGCATGGCTTTTCTTATATGGTGACTGTGGCCTTTAGTGCTTTTTCAGTGTGAAGTGTAAGATTAGGTAGTCATAAACTGTGTCAAGCTTTTGCTGCATTATTCAAAGCTGTATGAGCTGAAAGTGGAGTAAATTCTTCACTCTTTTCTGTGAGACAAAGTTACTGGCACTGAATGATGAAATCAGCAAATGCACTTTGAATGAGCCCCGCAGAATTATTAGAGTTCCTTACCAGTGTGTAGGCAAGTCTCAGTTACTTCTGGTGGGTTTATTGCACCTGTAGATTAGTCCCTAGATACATCAGTAGTTGTCTTTGCCTTGCATAGACTCAGCTGATAAATTCTTGCAGTTGCCCTGACTGTGTAATGTGAATCAGCACATGCATGACTGACTGTGGTACTTGTGAGACTGTACTCTGGACACCTTGTTGAAATCAGTCTCCTAAAACTTCACTAGATTCATATCTCAGTAGCTCTGCAGGAGCCAGTACAGTCCAGAAAGCTTGCACAGGCTTGGGTAGTGTATGCTATATCCCTTGCCTGTCCCTGTCTCCTTCCTTGGTTCTTTCCTGCTTTTCCCTTCTTTCACATTCTTGCTCCTCCTCCTTGAGTCCTGCAGCAGTACAGTTCATTCACTGAGGCCATGCAGTGCAGCACTCTGAGCTCACTCTGCATTTGTGTTGTGCTCTGTGCTCTGAATCTTGCCTGGCCGGGAGTGTGGGTTGGAGCATTTCCCTGTCTCCAGAGGTCAGGCTGGAGACAGCAGTTTTCTGAATAAGGCAGAAGCTCCTGACAACCTGACACTTCCCTTTCCCTCCTAAAACTGTAGAGTCCATTACACAGCTATTGTATGTTGTGTACCTGTGGATTTTTAATACAAAGTGTTCAATTTTTTCAGGTTAAAACTTTACCTTGACTCTTCTCAAATCTGACAGCTCACCTCAGCAAGGGCTGAGACCTGCTTCTCTTAGCACAGCTTGGGTGTTGGGTAGATAATTGCAGTTTTCTGGTAACTTGCAAATAGAACTGGGCAAAGATGCTAGTGCTTGTTTAGATTTTGCAAGGAACAATTCATGCCAGTGTTATTTCTAAAACCTTGAAGTATCTTTGAGATGTTCTTGTAGAAACACCAGATTAGATGCCTTTGGGTCTGAGGAAGGGCAAAATTAAGGAATTGGGACAGGCTTGCAATGACTCTGGATCACAAGGGGTGAGAGAAGTAGCTTAGAATCCAGTATTCAAGTACTTGGGTTGCAAAATCTCAGGTCACTGGATACAGTAGGTTTCAAGATGGAAGTTTATTCCATATGCTTCTGTACTTTTCCCCGGCCTGTTTTGGTTTCTAGCTGTTCCTACTCTCTATCATCCCAGCCTGCCATTCTGCTGCCCCAGCAAAGATAAAACCTTGCTGTACTCCTCCCACATCCTGGCTGTGTGCATCAGAACAGCAGCAATGCTGAAGAAAATAAATGCAAGTGAAGGTCATATCCCAAATTTTATTACCAGCAGAATTCTGTACAATAAGGTGAAACAAGGCAGGTCCCCACATAATAGAGAAGACTGCATTGTTTCAGCTTTCATTTTGCTCTGAGAATAGTCTACCACTCCATTACTAGAAGAAATTACTCTTTAGAAACTCTGGCTTCTGCTCTTGACTTCTTTTATTATTTTATGTTATATATATGTATTTAACTAATTTCTGTTTTTCAGTCACTCCTGCAACTGCAGGATCAGACAGCATCTGTTTTGTGTTCTCCTTCTGATGTACCTCATGGGGGATTTAATAATCAAATCCCCATGGTGATGCGAGGAAATTGCACCTTCTATGAGAAAGTGAGGCTTGCTCAGATAAATGGGGCCCGTGGGCTGCTGATTGTTAGTAGAGAGAGACTGGTAAGTTGCTTTTTATCTTCCTATGCTGCTGATACTCCTCTGATGCTAGATATTGTCTTGTCTTCAGTGCACATTGCTGGTACTTGATGTTCCTCTTTAAAGTAAATAATGCATGTGTGTTCCTGCATGTACATATGTTGCATAGTTATGTATGGAAACCACACATCTGATGGAAGAATGAATGAAACAATCCTCATTTCAGCAGGAATGGTTGGCACGGAGCTCATGTGAAATTCACGTTAAGGGCTCAGGATTATCCTTGCTCCAAATGAAACTGGAGCCAAAGGATGAGGTTGGTTTGTGACTCCATCATATACCACACTGAATCTAGTGCTTTAGATTCAGCTGGAGCAGCCACAGCATGTATTTTGTGAAATTAGTAGCTTTGAAAATAAAATTAGTAGTTTTGAGTCTTGGCCAATGCTAGAGGCACACATCAGTCATAAACCTGTGACCCTGATGTGCAAAAAAACTGCTTGAAATTTGGTTGCTTCATTTTGCTGTTACAGTCTTATATTACTTCTGTTTTACTGGGAGCAGGCATATATTTTGACTTTTGAGTGTTTGCTGTCACTAAGTTCCCTTCTAGAGTATTTTTCAAATTAGCCAGAACAGAATTTGCAACTTTAACCGTTTTGAAGCAGTAGAAGTATTTGCAGAAATAAACTATTCTTACCTGGTCTTAACTGTCTTTCAGGTTCCTCCTGGAGGTAATAGGAGCCAGTATGAAGAGATTGATATTCCTGTGGCTCTGCTTAGCTATACTGATATGTTAGATATTGGCAAGGTAAACTCGATACTAAAAGCTCTCATTTATATTATCTCATGTAAATAAATCACTGCTCAACAGTATTAAGTCTGCCTTAAGAGCTTTGAATATGTAGAGAATGTATTCATGAAGATTGCATTATTGTGTTTTGGAAAAAAAAATCTCTTGGGAAGTTATTTCTCATCTTTGGAATAAAATCAAAATACGGCCTGGTGCTGGAGATAAATATCACCAATAGAAGAGCCAATAGATGGCTCTTATGTGTTTATAATAAAGCCTGATTCTGAGGTTGCTTAGTGAAAAGTAAGTGAACCTTTGCTAAGGTGGATTTTTGGATGTCCTTCCTAACTTGTATTTACCTCCACAGAGTTTTGGCAGCTCAGTGAAAGGAGCAATGTATGCACCAAATGAACCTGTGCTGGACTACAACATGGTGATTATCTTTGTCATGGCCGTGGGGACTGTTGCAATTGGAGGCTACTGGGCAGGAAGCAGAGATGTGAAAAAGTGAGTAACTAAATGCAGTATACCAGTTTTCCAGTTTTCCTGTATTTTTCACAGAACAAAAAAAAAAAAAAAAAGGTGGTGTTTATGTAAGCATCACCTGGCAGCTCTGCTAGTGAGGTTAGGAGACTCTAGGGGAAATGCTGATGTGATGTTTAAAAGGCCCTGAGGCTTGCATTGGTTTGGTCACTGTAGGAAATCATTGGAGTTTAAATTGCTTGTAGATTTTTTTTAGGATTTTGCCATGTTAAAAGACCAAAAATTTGAAAAGCTCAGAAAGAAAATTATTAAGTAATAGGCTTCCCTTTTGCAAAAATTCACCACATAAATGCTTTGTAAAAAAATAATAAAATTTGCTTTTACTGGTATAGGGCAAACCAAATTGATTGGATGGCTAATATATGCTATGTTTGTTACCAACTTTTAAATGAAGTTTTATGGTTACTTTTTGGCAGCAAGTGGGATTGGGAGAAGGTGGTCATTGTGCCACCTAATTTTAACATTTATTTTGTGTACACAACCTGATTCAAGGATTTCTTCTGAAGTTAACAAATTATTCTGTGGTAGTTTTCAAGATTCAGTTGAGTTTTTAGCAAATGAAATAGTTCTCTAGATAAGTTGACACAGCAGTTACTGGTTTATGCACTTGTGTTACAGCTGATGTTCATACCTCCATGGAAAATACAGTGTCCCACTGACTTGAGTGGGAATCAAAGCAGGCACTGGTGTTGTTTCAACCCCTTGTGGTTTTTTGCTGAAGATTCAGCATCCTTGTGTATTTTGTTGCAGAAGGAATGAACTGATGGCAGCCATGTTACTCTTTCAGGAGATACATGAAGCACAAGCGTGATGATGGGGCAGAGAAACATGATGATGAAACAGTGGATGTGACTCCCATCATGATCTGTGTGTTTGTAGTGATGTGCTGCTCAATGCTTGTCCTCCTTTATTTCTTCTATGACCACTTAGGTACTCTTAAGGTTGTATTTGTATTGATACATCTTCAATATCACAAGGCTGACGTCGTTCAATGTACACTTTATTGTGAAAATAATAATGAAACATCTCTCTTTTGTCATGTGTCTTCATCCCAATATGATTTAAAATACTGTAAGAAAACTCACTGAGTAGATTCTAATCCTTCTTTTTGTGAGGTTGATCATAAAGCTTCTTTCAAACATTAAAGACTATTAAGTAGATACAGACTTAGTATTTTCCACCTTTTATTTTTGTTAAAGGTGTTCTCAGACCTATTCTTTCTCTCTATTATTGTTCAGTTTGAAGTCAAGACAAGGATCATTTTTTTATCTTTATAAAGATTATAATTTTCTACTGATCACTTATCAGATTGACAAAACATGAGAGCTTAATGCTTCTTCATATTTTTGAGGAAGTAGTGAAACATGCATCCCATCTGTATTAATTCATTTTGCTACTTAGTGACTTTAATAGCTCCTTATAATGCTCCTGTGTACTCATAAAGAGAAGATAAATGCTTCACCATAGGTTGCCTTTGAGGCTTATGACTTACTTAAGAAGATTAGGATAGAGGTTTTTTACTTTAAGTAGGTATTGCATAAAGTACACCTGAGTAAAAGGAGCTAGAATTAGATACTTAAAGAGCACAAATCTAATCAATCATTTAAAGTCTCTGTATTTATCTTTCACTGTTGAAATGCAAGCCTTATTTCTCATTTAGTCTTACTGACTGACTGTTCTTTATTCAGTCAGGAGAATATGCAAAAAGCATTTCTTGCCTTATCCTACTTGGACTTAATACTTTTTTCCCCTCAGTCTATGTTATAATAGGAATATTCTGCCTGGCTGCCTCGATTGGTCTTTACAGCTGTCTGTCTCCCTTTGTAAGAAGATTCCCCTTGGGAAAGTGTAGGTATGTGGCAAATTTCAAACTTTTAATAGGGAAACTTAGATTTTTATACTGTTGGGTAGGTGTGGGGTTTAAAAGGTGGCTTCATGCTTCAAAGTGTTGATAAAGGAAGAGGCTGTATACATAGACAACTGTAGCTTTGGTGTGATTGTTTTTCAGAATTCCAGACAACAACTTGCCATATTTTCACAAGCGTCCCCAGGTCCGGATGTTGCTCCTGGCAGTGTTTTGTATCTCTGTCAGCGTAGTCTGGGGAATCTTCAGAAATGAAGATCAGTAAGTGATCTGTGCTAAATATTTTTCTGTGGTAAAAAATTGTAATACACTTTATAGTATAAATAACTGGCATCCACAGAAGTCTACATGTATTTAGAAATTAGGAATGACAGGGAAAAAAAATAGAGACATGCAGAAATTCTTAGTTGTTTCTTAGTTGTTCCTTATGTACTTCATCTTTTCCTTGTTCATTTAAATTACAGAAAACTGTCTCTTGTTAAGCTTGAATTTGTCTGAGTCTCAGTCAGTATTCTGATCTCTTTGACTTAAGACAGCTTTTCAGAAGTGATATGGAAAGTTGGACACAAGTTGTCTAACTTATTTCTTCATGAGAATAAGAACTGGTAAGATTGTCAGATCTTTAGTTTCTCTCAGCTTTCTTGTACAAGTCAGTAATTCTCTACACCCAGTGTTGCTGTAGTGCCTAATTGTAGCAGGTTCTTACCACTTTTGTTAGAGGTGGATCTTTTACAGAGTGTTGTGGTTTTGTTTTCGTTTGGGATTTTTTACCTCTTACCTCACTCCCAGATATTCCAGTTTTCCCATATGTACAGGTTGTGTTCATCTTCTTGGTTCATCTGTTGGGGATTCAGTATTGAAATGCTGGGGATTCAATCAGGGACTGAAATGCTGGCTGTGTTCCTGTTGATGATATCAAAGATGTCTGACTTGTGCTTTGAATGCATGCCAGTGCTTTTGTGGGATCTGTGTTCTGTGTGGACCAATCAATGACAAAACTCAAATCCAGGAATCATCAACTCTGAAAGACCCTTTAGAGAGATGTGTGTCAGACTGAGGAGTACAGCAGTACTATAGAAATGTTCCAAAATATTTAGGACTAGGAAATCCATTTTCTGCATGAGAGCTGATGTGGGCCTGAGTGTTTCCTGCAAGAGCTCCATCAGCAAGTACCCATGTATTGATCCAACAGCACCATCTGTCATTGTACCTAGACCATAGCAATTTTTGGGAAACCTTAGTTTGTTTTTGTCAGATCCTACTTGTCTTTAACCCCGGCCATTGAGAGTAAAGCAAAGAGCCCTTCTGTACTCAACTTGCAAAACACAATTGAAAACCGGGCCCAGCTGTAAATTTCCCTCAGCACACAAGGGTGCATACCTATATCCAGGACAAAGGACCCCAGCACTTCCCATTTTGGTATCCACTGACCTCATGCAGCCAGTTTTCAGTCCACCTCACTGCTCATTCAGCTAGTACTTCCTCAGTTTCTCTGTGAGGATTTTATGGAAGACTGTCAGTGGAAAGCCTTACTGAAGTCTAGAGAGACAATCAACAGGTCTTCCCTCATCTCCCAGGCACTTCTTTGTGGAAGGTTATCAGGTTGATGAAAAACAACTTCCCATTTGCAAACTCATGCTGACAACAATGTCGATTTCAAGCAAGTACTTTGAATAAAAGGGTTTTTTCTTTGTCCCTTAGTGAGGACAAGGCTTGGTCTGTTTTTCCTGCTGTTTCCTGCAAAAATGTTACTTTTCTCTTTTTAAGGTGGGCCTGGGTTCTGCAAGATGCTTTAGGAATTGCTTTCTGTCTTTACATGTTGAAAACAATTCGCCTGCCTACATTTAAGGTATGAAAGTTAAACAGAAGTTATAGACTTTCAGAAGAAAGTTAAAGAGAAGTTTGCATGTATGTGTTTGAGCAGAGGAGTCGCTTATAGTGGAGTATATTGTCTTAGAAATGCAATTCCATTCATATGTCAGTATGGGAAAAAGGGATGCAATGAGAATAATGGAGACCCAGAAGTGGCATATGATTGTTCTGTGGATTCTGTAGAGTGTTGACTAGTAAATCAAACACCACCTCTTTATTTATGTATTTGGTATTTGGGTATTTTGTTGGGGGGAGGGGGATGTTTGTTCTGTTTTGATTGTTTTGATTTTGTTTTTCAAATTGACATACAACTAATGCATCAATCTAGTGGGCTTTTTTCCAAATCTTTCTGACCTTAGTCAGTATCCTAAGACAAAAATTAGTATTAGTCATTTATTTGCCCCTTAAGCAGCTCTTCAAACTCTTGTTTCAAATTATCTTCCTCTATAAGTTTGTATAGACTGACAGTAAATGGTATATAGTGTTTCAAGCTATGCCTGGCATCTTCCAGTGCAGAGCTGCTTCATATTTCCCAGCAAACTCAAGTGGCACCATTTTCAGATTTTACACGATAAAGAATTTTGGGTAATAACATGTAATTTTGTGTTTTATTATATATGGCGCATGCAAGACCCTATTCCTTTATCTAAAATATTTAGGAATTAAGAAAAATACATTACTGACTTGTTTTAGTCTTTGCAAGCTTTTTCTTTTAATAGCCTTCTAATTATTAATTCTTTGCTGTTTGCTAATGCATTGTATGTAAATACCAAATATCTTGTCTCTTCCTTCAGGGTTGTACCTTACTCCTCCTGGTTCTTTTTGTGTACGATGTATTCTTTGTATTTATCACACCTTTTCTAACAAAGGTAAGTAAGGTGCTTCTCCATTGCCTGCTGCCCACAGAGCAAAGTGTAATGACTTGTTTCTCTGTGTGTTCCTAAATGATCCCAGAGCTGCTGAGTGAAGTGCTGATTTACAATTTTCCCATTTTTTCTTTAGACTGGGGAGAGTATAATGGTGGAGGTGGCTGCAGGCCCATCTGATTCTGCCACTCATGAAAAGGTACTGCATGTTGTCTGAAAATCTGGCACTAGCTTTCAACTATTACACTTTTAACTTCTCTAAAATTCAAGACCACAAAGCTGAAATGAAGATGTCAGTCTGAAAAGAACTTAATATGGGAATAAGTGCTCCTGAATGTTAATTCTGGAGGGGCAAAGCAGACTTATAGTGGTTCATCACACCAACTTTGGTTTTCCTTTATCTTTTTTTGACAGGGTTTCAATATAAGAAAGCTGGTTAGCTCAGCTTCACACAAACATGACCACATCTGTAAATATTAACTTGTTGCTAATTAAAGCATGAGCATCTTTTCCTAAAGAGATTAAACATATAATCAGTCTGTCTCTTCCCCCTCCTTCCCTTTTTTGACATTTACTTTACAAAAAGCTGAGGCTGTAGGTAAAAGAGAGAAACACAAATTGGAGACAGAAGAAAGCAGAAGTCAGTGTTCAGTGGGTTTTCACCGTTGGACAGCAGCCAATTGCATGAACACCTTACAAGATGTGGCTGACTCAGGGAGGAAAGTATGTGAGATGTAGGAGATAGTGAGATATAGTGAACAAAACAAAAAAAACTAATCAGTAGGAAGACTTAGTTATGTTAATTTAAGGATTAATTTGATCTATTTCAGCAATTAATGTAATAGTGTCATGTGGGAAAATAGCAAAGAAAATAGTTGTTTGCAGGATGTGGATCAATCCATACAGTCCATACTAATTTCTTTGACTTCTTTTGTTCTTCTCTCCTGTACCCCTTTAGTACCCCTTTGGATTCAACATTATGTCATGAAAGTCATGAAAGTTTAAGTATATAAAATTATTTTGGCACTAATATAAGAAAAAAAAAAAGAAAGTTTCTTTAATGTATTGTAATAAAGAAAATACAGGTTTGCAATGGACCGTGGCATACTGTGCCTCACATTGCAATTTATGTAATAAATAGGAACACAGGGAAGAGTCTTTAAAGTGATTTGAAAAATGACTTTTTAAAATTATTCATGTCTTGGTCTTCTGAGACTTTTATTGCACCCAGGTGAATGAACTATATGAATTATTATTTCCTATGCACGTAGCAGCTTACCTAAATTTTGTACATACCTGCAGCTAAAGCAGAGTTGATACCCAATTGTATGTGAAAACTTTGAAGTTAACTTAGTATTTAGAAAGTATTTCATTGCTCTCATCTTAAATGCATTTTGTTAGTTGTCAGTAATATTGTATGTAATGAATGTATAAAAAGATCCATTTGATGTACTTGAAACTTGCACTTTGAGTACAACAGGAGCAAGTTCTGGTAGGTAGTGTCACTGTGCTTTTCATCAGACACGTGTCTCTCTCATTCCAAGCTCCCAATGGTCCTGAAGGTTCCACGACTGAATTCCTCACCATTGGCTCTATGTGACAGGCCTTTTTCTCTCCTAGGATTTGGAGACATTTTAGTTCCAGGTATTGTTTAGCATGTTAAGAATTTTACATGTTGCATTGTGATATTAGTTTATTCTTCTTGTACTCCTGCTTCAAGTGGTAGGTTTGATTTGACTACTATAAACCTGATAAATTTTCAAGTATAGGGGTTTTTTGTGCACTATTCACTTTTTCAACAAGAAAAATGCACATTAATCTCATGGTTCACTTTCACATGCAGTGATGTTAAGAAATGTAGAGAAAATGCAGGAGTAGATTTAGCAGCTGATTCTATACTATAAAGCATCATTGATAGTGTGGTGATAGAGGAAATTATTTGTCCATTTGCACACGGGTTAAGTACAGATGCCTGACCACTCAAAACTTCCTAACTGTTAGTCACACTACACCCAGTATTTCTGCCACACTTTATCCCAAATTTGATTTTAGATAGTATGTAGAACTATCCCTGGCATCGCTGCAGACAAAAGAATTATGCGCCTTCTGACTGTCAGATTTCTTCTGCAAAATAATTTGTTTACTTTCTTGTGTTTTGGGAAATATGAACTCTGTCATGCCCATTAGTCTCCCATCCTCCCCCCAACCTGAAGCAGGCATAGTCATTAACCACAAAATTCTACTGTCTTCAGTACCAGCTCGAAGGGCTGAACTTACTCTTGTTCTTGTTGTGAACACTGTATTTTTGCAAATGTTTAGTAGGGATGAGATGATATTTTTATCTATGATCTGCATGTTTGTAGCTGTGTATTTTACTTTTGGAGTGCTTCCAATACATGGGGCTTGTACCATCAGATAACTGGTTTGTAAATTGTGCAGCCTCCTGGATATGTTGTCATGGTGCTTATACACAGGGTGCCAAGGAAGTTTTTTGGGAAAAAAAGTTCTTGCAAGTTCCTAGCTGGTTTGATGGTTTTATTTTTATCATTAAGTGTGTGACTAGGTTGAAAGCATATTGTAACTGTTCTTTCTTTTCCTAGGCTTACTGGTAGCCTATTGCCATAGGTTTGATATTCAGGTGCAGTCATCCAGAGTCTATTTCGTAGCCTGCACAATAGGTATGTACCACAGTGCCACCTGAGCAAGGCCTACAGGAGTGGCTCCCTCTAAAAGCATGTCATCAGTCTTGCATGGCATATTTGGGGGTTTTATCCTGTTCCTCCTTTTATTATTAAACAGAAACATTTAGCAAAGTGCTTTCAAGGCTAGATCTTCCATCACCAAACTAGCTGATGTTGCTTTTCTGAGCTGTTTTGCCTGCCTTACGTAAGGGCTGCCAAGGGTCTCAATCTACCCCTTGTAATTACACTATTTTTACATGTACTCAGCTACTCATCATGGTTTCTTGATTCATGAATCTTTGAGTTTATTGTGCATGAGAATTCAGGTTCAGGGATATCATCCTTTGACTTTGTTCCTAATTTCTTGTGTATTCTTAAAATCCATAACCTATGATTTAGGGAATTTTATTATGAATACTATAACACCTCTAGATAAGTTTGCTTTAGTTTGTAAAATCCATGGAGTTATGTGCCATGAACATAAATACTACTGATGAATAGGATCTGACAGATTCCTGTTGTCTTTCTTACACAATGTACTTATGCTAGCAAAGACTTCTAATGCTTGCAGTGAATATCGTGAGAAATTGTCATTAACAACTTCTTTAGAAATTCTTTTGGAAAAATATCTAGGTTCATGGACACTTCTAGCAGGGGTAGAGAGATGCTTTTATTGATGTTCCAAATCATTGTCTCATATATAGTAAAACAAAATTGTTGTCTTATCTGGTACTTTAAAAATATGTTTGCAGAAATCGGAAAATGTTTTATTGATAAAGAGGCAGCAGTTTGCTATTGCAGCCATGAGAATGAGCCACATACAGGGCTGAGTTAGCAAGATGTAGTCAGCAGTTATGAGAGGAGTGATTATTTCCTCAAAATTTGTCACTTACGACTGAGTTAAGCAGGATCCCTGGTGCCAGACAGACATTGACATGCTGGAGTAAATCCAGTGGAGACTGTCAGGATGGATGAAGACTGGAGCACAGGGTTGTAAAAAGAAGAGAAGGCAAAGAGGAGATTCTGTTGCTTCCCACAGCTGCCTAATGGGAGGCTGCAGAGAGGACAGAGAAGCTTTTCCTACAGGTGTGAGGCAATGGAATTAAATCATTATAAGAAACAATGGGTAATAATTATATATACGGAACTCTCGATAATAACAGAATATGCCCCTACCCAAAAAGCATTCTCAAGAGCTGTAAAAAGTTATTGATTATTCCAATCACAGCCCTCTGAGATCATCAAGTCCAGCCAGGCCCCCAGGACTGCCAAGCCCACCTCTAACCATATCCCTGGATGCAAAATCCATGTATCTTTTAAATCCCTGCAGAGATAGGTACTCCATCAGTGCCCTGGGCAGCTGTGCCAGGACTGGAAAACCTTTCTGGGGAGGAAGCTTTGCCTAATATCCAGTCTAAACCTCCCCTGGCAGAACTTGAATTTCCTCTCCTCCTGCCCCTTGTTCCCTGGGACCCCACCTGGCTGCCCCCTCCTGTTGGGGTTGTGGAGAGTGAGGAGATCCCCCTGAGCCTCCTTTTCTCCAGGCTGAGCTCCTTTCCCAGCTCCCTCAGCTGCTCCTCTCAGACCCTTCCCCAGCTCTGTTCTCTTCTCTGGACAGCCCCTCAATGTCTTTCTTGACTTTCTGAAGAAAAATCTGGAATCTGGATCTGAAGAAAAAGTTAGATTAACTTCATTGTCTGAAAATAGAATTGAAAATAATTACATTATAAGATCTAAGCTACTGTTCTACTAAATAAGTTTTGCCACATTTATGCAGAAATTAAATAGAAAGTAATAAAAATATATAACCTAGAGCAGGCTGGCTTCTTTTTTTTAGCTGTCTGGCAGGATAGGAAGAAACAGCTTAAGCCAACCCAAACAAGAAGCACATTATAATGCTTCTTGTCAAAATATTTGTCCGTATCTGCTGAGTTCATAAATATAATGCACAATATTTCATGTGTTTATTTTGCTTAAGGTAATTATTTAATTGTACAATATGGACTAGGCCAATTACACTACTTTCATGTTATCAATAGAAAAACTGTAGTATTCTATGTTTACATGGTGTAAATAATGCTAAAGAGGCCTGAAAAACTTCTGGAGATGTACATATTGCTTAAAAAAATTCCAGTGAGAATGCTTCTTTAGCCAATTATTGAGTTGTGCTTGAGCAAAGCTATATCTGAGTAACTGTGTTTTGCTGGGTTTGTTTTCTTCCAGCATATGGCATAGGCCTTCTTGTGACCTTTGTTGCCTTGGCACTGATGCAGATGGGGCAGCCTGCTCTCCTCTACCTGGTGCCCTGCACTCTCCTCACCAGCTTGGTGGTGGCCCTCTGGAGAAGGGAGCTTGCCATGTTCTGGACGGGCAGCGGCTTTGCGGTGAATACCAGTTTGATATGAGTGTCTTCAGGAAATACTAATATTATAAAAACCTAACTAGAATTAAAGTTGAGTAAAATATTGCAGTATTATCACACAAACACAAAGATTTTGGTTTTGCTTGGTTGTTTGCTTTTTTAAATAATTTTTTTTGCCTCAGTAAGGTTTTCTGGTTTTTGCAGTGTTTATGGCCACTTAAATCAGAGTAGTGAAAAGTAAAGTAGAACTTGTCCATCCTTGATTCTGACAAAATGTTACTTGTTTGATCTCTCTTGAAAGTATCAGTAGTAGTGAAAGATTATAATAATATATAAAATGTGGGGTTTAGTACTATATAAAATATACCCTTAAAATGCTTTCTTCTATTTTTTCATAGCATATTGTTTATGAAGGTGGAAATGTAGTTCAGTATTGTAAATTATCCCTTTGTTTCACTGTGCTGCAAGTGAAATTAACTTGATTCAAAAAGGAATAATTTCTATCATGCATTATTTTAGTTTTTGAATACTTACTAGAAGGCCAAATCTATGAAGCTGGAGGTTCCCCCAGTGAGTTTTATTTTATTATTCAGCTATTTGTGATAACTTTCACAAGCTTCCACTAGAGAAATTAATTTAATTGTTGGAGATCATCTGAAATGTTATGTAAAAGTTGTCAGTTCTTGTACAGTGATAGTAAAGGTGGGCAGAACTGGATAGTGGCCAAGGACCAAGTGCCTGTTGCTGCCTTATCAGCAGAGCACATCTGAAACTGGTGAGGAGCAATCACTCAGAAAGCAAACACTTTTCTGGAAGGAAAAATTCTCCTGGTGTCCTATAAAACACAAAGAAAGGATAACTGTACGCATCTGTCCACTGCTGGAGAATGATAACAGAATTGATGGGCCTTTAATCTTCCTCTTGTATGACCATTACCTTGGGTAACTGGACACAATAGTTCTTGTTTTTCATCATTTTGACTGTGATCTTCCATTTACAGAAAGACCTACCTCAGCCTCCTGTGGTGATAGCTCCTGTCAACTGCCCTCAGCTTCCCAAAGACAGCAGTGTGCCAGCCTCTCAGCAAGACACAGAGCAAATGACCAACCCCACCCTCCACGTGGAGGAGCTGCCCGGCTCCGCCTCGGCTGAAGAGGAGCTGGCTGATAGCAGCACAAAGACAGAGCAGCCAGAAATCTCTGTGGCCCACAGTGAGGAACCAACTGCTCAGAATAAGGATGACCTTGAAAGCAAATGCCTAAATGCAGAACAAAACCAGTTGGAATAAGTGATGTGATAAGAACTCCTTAACTTTCCCTCACAAACATACATAAAACCAGTATGTATTTAGGACTGGTTTAGTAGGGTTTGCTTTCATTGAGGAACCTCACTAGGAGTCTGATCATCAAATCCAACAAGGAATGTTCTGTCTCCAGCTTTGGTACAGCTATATACTTAAAACACCTTTCTGAAATATGGTGCTCTCCAGGAGTTCTGATGTGTGGGTTTCAATGATCGCTGTTAGTGAATGCCTTTGACCATTTGTTCCCTTTGCATTAGAGCAGGGTGGCATCAAGAGTCTTTATTTACTCTGTGCTTATATGGCTGTTTCACTGCTTCACCATGATGTAGGTCAACATGGAGGAAAAGCATTGAACAAGTCTGCTGCAATGCTTACTTGAGGGAAATATGGTCTAGTTGTTTGGTTTGTTTTGGTTTTTTTTTTTTTGGGCACTTTCCCTATTGTCACCATTTACTTTACTTCTCTTGACTTGTCAAAGCCATTGATATAAGGGAATGCATTATTATAAACTGACATTCAGGAAATGCAGATAATGGTTAAATTACCATTACTCCTAAAGGCTTTATGCTACCATGATGCATTAAATGCATCTCTTAAATTTTTGTCTTTGTTTTTACTTCTAGGAACCTGAGCTACTAGTCTAGTTTAAAAGGCAGGGTGAGTAGAGCTCCAGGAAGCTTTCTAGGCATTCATATGAACTCTAAGGGCTCTGATAATAAACAGCATTGGTCACAGAATAATGCCTGGAAGCAAATGCATATTAGGAATGTTTAGAAATAAAATATAAGCCAAATAGGTGAAAAAAAAAAATTAGGTAGTAGCACTATACTAAGCTTAACAGGCAGCATTTTCATTGGGAAAATGTTAAAGCGCAAATGTTCTTATGTTTGGGGCTTTGAGCTTCTATTTGTTCTTCATTCAAGGAATATAATTGTGATTTTTGATTCTGAAGAAAATAGTCTGATTTTTCATTCCCAATGGAGCACATATGGTGCTAGAGACCGGTGTGATTTAAAAGCTGCTTGCTGCTCAGTAACTTACCAACTGCCTGAGTCATGTTTTGTCTTTGTCCCAAGAACAGCCAAAGCATAGTCTGTCAGGTTCTGGAATGAACCTGGGAGCTCACTCATTATTTTGTCTTTCTTGCTACATTGTGAAGGAATTTGTGAATTTAAAAATTTTGGAGTGCAGCTGGTCTTACTTCATATTCCTGAAATTGTTTGTTTTCCTGTATAACATGATTGAGTCTTTCATGCATCAGCTTTTGTACATAGAAAGATGATGGGATTTGTGTATTACTTGTTCCATCTAAGTACATTTGGCTTTATCAGAGGAGTCTGTTCTGCACTTCTCTTGCAATTCCAGAAAGCCTCAAACACTTCACACAAAAACTGAAATAGAAAATTGAAGTATTACAGGATCCTTGGATATGATTCCAGATTGCGTGGAAGAAATACTCTCAAGTATTTGGGAGCCCAAAATGTAATTCACAAAAGCATTGTTGCAGTGATGCAATCAGAGGCATTGCTGTGGAATTGAGAGTCTCCACTTGGCATGTTGAATTGGACTGGAAGGGCTCTCTTTTCAAGAATGTCAGTTAAATATCAGCCATTGTCTTCTTGGCTAGATCTTCCAAAATTTTGCCCTGGGCTTTTTGGATGAAAGCTTTTGTGGACATTGTTTCTCTAGAATTGAGCAGCTTTCTCTAAAACCACACTCTGGCTTCAGAGTTTTACCAGCTTCTGCTTAAAGCCTTGAACCTTGTCTGATAGGATGATTAATGAAGTTTTTTGGAAGGCTCCTTGGGTCCAATGGCCAACACAATGTTTCATTTACAAATTGCCCTAATGGAAGATAGCACTAAAGGAATCTGCTTTTCAGTCTTCTCTTTAATGGACCCTTACTTTGGCCAGCAGTAACCTGAACCAGTTATTACTAATAAAAAGCAACAGAAACATTTTACTTCAATTAGCTGGATTATGCCTTAAGTCTTTGTGTAAGTATGGTTATTAAATTAAGAAAGCAATCTTGTGTTTAAATAAGAGCTTGACAAATAGCAAGGTAAGTTGGAGACTGACTCAAAGTTCTTTTGGTTTTTGCCTTGATCATCTCTTAGTCAGAATGTTGTTTGGAGTAGCTTTCTACATATTTAAAGCCAGTAGCTTTCTGATGACAGAGCATTAGGTGTTATCATCTACTTGAAAGTGTACTTTCACATTTGTTCTCCTGTGTGCTTAGGAAACAGTTTATTTCAGATTGTTCATAGCTCAGTTAAAACAGAAGAACTGGTCACACTGAACTAGGCATTTCACAGTTGTATTCTGGACATTCTGCTTCACCTCAGATTTTGAGGAATTCCCATCTATTTTTAAGTGTAATTTTTTTCTCTCCCAAACAACAAAGAATGCAGAAAAAAAAATCCCAATTTCTTCTCCGTGTAGTACCTCCAGTTAAAGCATGTGAAGTGGCAACAATTTACAGACTTTGACTATCTCAGTACTGTACAAATCAGGTGACCCTGGTGCTCCAGTTTGGCTGTGACTGTTTGGACCCTGATCCTTGGGCAGATCAATCCCTTCCATCAAACAAAAGGCTGTATTTTTTTATCTTTAAAAAAGCTCCCTGTTCAGCTTAATTTAAAACTTAATGTTGCATAGGAAAATATGCCTATCAGTTCAATGTGACTGACTCTGATTTTATTTGATGATTTCCGATACACATTCCACCCCAAACTTGAGTTTTAATATTTAAAGTAATTAAAGTAATATTAATGTTAAAAATAATGTTGATAGGCTTCTTGTTTATGTCTTTCACATACTAAGCCTTATCTGTCTAGAAATTCAGTAAGGGTTCTGTTCCTGAAAACTTGCATGTGTTCAGGGGAAGCACTTCTTTTAGTCAGAAAAAAAAAATAAATCCAAACAAACAGAAAAACCCCAGTAACAATCAACACCACTAAAACAAAAATCCATCTGAGAAAATTTGACTCTTTGGACCACATAATGAGGGTCAGATTCCTTCCTCAGGTGTTTGTTTTGGTCTGTTCCCTGCTGAAGGATTGCCCAAATGCAGCTGAAGGTAGAGTGGAATATGAAAGACATTACTGAGGATGACAAGAGAAAAGTATCTCAAACCCTCTTTGAAATTTGTGGATTTTATTTTTCTTCTCAGAAATGAAGAGCATTTTAAATGAAATATATAAAAAAGAAACAAAAGAATAGATTTGAAAATATATTCTATGTTTACCAGTGGCACTAAAATAAAAGTGCATCCACATATGTAAGAATTACACTTGCGAAAATATTAAACGTTTTCTCTAAACTTGGACAGATCCAGACAACAGAAAATCTGCTGCACAGCCTATTTTCCAAAAGATTTATTAACATACTTCATAGAAAACTTCATTTAGAAAAGTGTTTGTTTCCATATTTCTTGAACATTTTCCATGGTCTTGGATAATGGTCAAGCTTTTCCTTCAGAGGATGATGCTCTTTCCTTACAGTACCCCTCAACATGGCTCTTGTTAAGAGTGTCTTGACAGTATTCTTCAGCCATGCACATTTCAGTGTTTCAGCTTTGATTTTTGCCTTCCTGCTGCATTGTTCCAACTGGGAGCAGATCATGACTGCCATGGTAGTGCCTGTTGACTTCTGAGTGTGCTGGAAAATGGTGCTGACATTAATGAATGCTGCAGTCAATAATGAATTTATCTGCCTCGGGGAGATGCTGTGAATTTACCTGTAGCTCTTTAAAAAAAGCCAATACTGGATGTTTGAGAACAGTGTTGCCTTGAAGTCCAAGCTCGTGTGCGCTGTTTTAGTGCAAGACCCAGTGCTCTTGTTCTTGTCTTCAGCCCCGTGGCTGTGTGTGTGTTTCTGGTTTGTTGCACTACACAGGCTGCATATGATGTAAAGCCCACGATACTTCTTTTTAACAGCAGCTTCATTGACTGTCCATGAACAAACCAGAGTATTTTGTACGTGCTTTCATCATTTGGTGTGTTATTTGTAGTGTACTGAAGGCTGAGTATGCTGGCCAAGCAGCAGTGTATACTACTAATGATTATCAACACTTGGCACATAGCACATTGACACAAATGTGAAATACAGACATACCAGTAGATCCAAATACGCATCCAAAGCCTGCAGAGATGGTGCTTTTTTCCATGACAAGTATTATCTCTGATGTTTTAAAAAGAATGTAAGGCTGTGTCTTCAGGCAAATGAGGACAGGCACTATTTTCAGAGGTTCAGAAAACGTCATCAACTAGGAACAATTAATCTTTAGGTATTTTAATCTTGCATGTGGTTTCCTAGCTGGGGCAAGACATGAAGAACAGAGCTGCACTAACAGCTTTTCAGTTCAGGTTTTTGCCAGTGGTGCTGGGTAGGGTGGAGAAAGGGAAAAAACCTGAAGATTAGTCAGAAAGCATGAGGAGACACTGAACAATAAAGGCAGTGGAAGATTTTACTACAAAGAGATCTAAGGGCATGATAAATACCCCAAAATCTGAAAGGCTGCTGCAAATTGGGAAAACAGTTTGTCAAGTAGGGATGACATTAGAATTAATAGACTTAATAAGGAAATTCTGGTGCTGGCGGTAGGAAAAATCCAGGAGTGGCTGACAGGGGAGGGGCTGAGCAGGACAGGGCAGTGCCCAGGGCATGAGCTCCCTTGGTTCTGCCAGGAGAGAGCTGAACCACACCAACCAGAGCCATTTCGTGCTGCTGGCAGTCGTGGCTAGCCAACAAACCCTGTCCTCCCTGTCGAGATACAGTCTGAGGGTCAGGATTCCTGGTTTTAATGAGGTTATAGCATGAGCTTCATCCCAGAGTACTCAGTTTATATTCATGAATGCTGTGAGGGTGTTCTGTACCAACTGTGATGGACAGTTCAGCTCTTGGGAGACAAATACTGCATTTTCTGCTACTTAAAAGTGATAAATCTTCTGGAAAGCACATCAATTTTAGTCTTTTTGTCTATGTTTAATTTGTTGAATTGCTTCTGGCAGCCTGGAGCATTTTCAGAACAAGAGAGCTTTGTGTGCTACCAGAAGCTTCCTTTGGCCAGTGGCATAAAAGAATTTTCTTTTCACTGGTCCTCTCTATCATCTCTATCAATGATGTTCTCTTCTGTGAGGGTTCCACCTTTTCCATTTTGCAGTTAAATATTCAGATTATGTGGAATCAAGATGGCATTTTGCGATCTGTAGATTAGTGATAGGTGATGAATAATGTGTTTAAATTGGATTTTCTTGAATTGGGAACTAGTGTACTGTACACAATAATCTATAGTTTCAGGAACTAGCAGAGGACTTAACTTCATGTGATGCAGGGGCTCAGGCTTGGTTCTGTTTGCCAGAAGCTGTTGGTGAGTCCAGCAGCCAGGGGTTACAGGTGCACAGGCTGCTGCAATTATTTGGAGCTACCTTCCTTAGGTGAAGGTGGCATTACAGTTTTATCCAATTTTCTCATAATATTTTTCTGCATGTCAGCATGCAAGTTTAGCTCCAGATGGCAAACTTCATCCAGGTGTTTGTCTCTGAAAAATTCTGAGATGATCTGCTAGCTAGATTTTTTTTCCTTAAGAACTGCTTCCTGCTGACAGACATGCATTGTATGTTGTGAACTGACTTTGAGTGTTTCATGTAAATATTGGTCAGCTGAAAATATGTAGAGACACAATTTCAAAGTAAACCAGCTCATCACCAGCTTCTGCCCCATCCCTGGAAGTTCAAAGCTAGCCCTGAGCAAACTGAATCTAGTGGATGGCATCCCTGCCCGTGACAGGGGCTGGAATGAGATGATCTTCAAGGTCCCTTCCAACCCAAACCATTTTGTGATTCTAAGGTTCTATCCTAACTCCTAAAAAACTTGATGGCGTGGGCTGGCAGGAGCCCTGCAGTAGCCAACACCTCATAGTCAAGTGCTGCTGGAACATCTCCAGCCCTGAGAATGTGGCACTTGGCATGAGCAGCAACACCCTGTAATGCAGCAAGGGTTCCCAGAGCCTGACCCTGGGGTAGGGCTGCACACAAGAGTCCTGTCTGATGTTTTCAATACACTAACTTCTTCCTTGAGCCAGAGGTTTGGAATGGATAGAAATAGCTCTTCTGAAACATATGTCTGTAGTCAAAAAATTGCCATAAACCTGCCCCTTCTCCACTGTGGATTCAAGCCTTGAGCACTGGCATGGTGGGGAGCTCGTGCTGTTTGAGGAGGAGCACAGTCCTTCACCTGCATTCCCCAGCAAGGAACCAGAAGAGAATTTTATTGTTCTTCTCTGACTGAAGTTGTTCTGATTTATCTTGAAGAAAAACTTCAAAATAGTGGTTCAGGTTTAGTTTGACAAAGTAAAAAACAACCCATAGTGGCACAGTTTAATTTGGTTTGGATCATAATCTACTTTTTTCATATTCAGTAGTGGAGACTACAAAAAATGTTTCTCAGAGATGTTACAGCAGACCCTAAGCTGGCAGGAAGCCTGTGTGGGAAGCAGGCTGACTGCTCTGATGGCCAGTGCGTGCTGTGCCTTGCCTGTGCTGGGGTGAGCATGTCACCAGTGTTTGCCACTTGTCTCCTCCAACCTTTTGACTCTCATTGAGAGCCCCACAGCCAGCACTGGTTGTGGGAGAGCAAGAAGGAATCTCTGTGTCACAGAGCACTCCTGGTGCTGTAGGAAAGGCATGAAATGGAATTGACCGCTCTGCTCAGCCTAGGGCCTGGGCCACATGCTGCATTCCTCACGGGGCTGAACACACAAAACCTCGATCCTAAAGCCACTGATAGGAACTGTGAGCTCTGGCACTTTCAGCCTAGCAACACAGGAAAGCAAAACCTAAGAAAAATCTGAATTTACAGCCCTGCCCATGGATGCTCTGTTCATTGCTGACCACGTTCCTTCAAGGCTGGAGGAACTGGGGTCTGATAGACTTCCAGCAGGCCACGAGTCCCCTGTGACCCCTGCTAGTGTTACTTTACTAAAACTGAATCAGAAACACTTTGGATGTGAATTGGTGGGAAGCTGGAAGCAAAAATTTCAAGCAGTATAAAGATGATTTAGAAGCTAAGACCCATTTGGAGGCTTGACAGTAGCTGCTTTTAGAGAGGAAGTTGATTCTTGGAGATAACATTATCAGTCTTAAATGTCTGGTGTCTTTGTGGAAAGACTTTGTAATGGTGTTAACATAGTAGTATGTGGGATAGTATATGAAGAGTGCAACCTAAAAGATTGTTAAATTTAGCACTTGCAAATGCATCTGTTTACCTCTACATATGTACGCATGAAGAATAAACTTTAAGCTCATTTCAGGTTCTGAAGGAAAGATTTTCTCTTGATCCAATGTGTTACATGTTTTTGCTGTTGTAAGATCTTCTATGCAGCTTGGCCCCTTAATCATTAAAAAAAAAAAATTAGAAAAAAAATCCACATTAAAAAACACCCCCTCCCTCCATAAAAAGAACAGCTAAGGAAGTTGGCCAGTGTGGGAGACTGGTATGAAAACTTACTTGGAGTATTTTTCCTGCAAAAAAAATCTCAAACCCACAAGCTATTGAAATGAAGTGCAGATGGGACATAAAGAATGAGGAATTTAGTTCTCTGTAAGGATGTAGTCAGTGATGCTGATACAATGAATGTCATTCCCTGAGTCCCTGGTTCCTATCTTGTCTGTCCTTTACCTGTCAGTCAGTCTGTCAGTGGCATACACTGCGTGGATCAGTCCCCAGCTGGAGCTGATTGTGGGGTTGTTGATTCCCCATGGGAAGAGGGTCCCTCTCCCCTAACTCAGGCTACTACTTGATCACTTGCAAAATTGTGCATATTGCATGATATCTGCAAGGATAGATAAATCAGTAATTCTGTGACTTTTGTCTATGATACAAGTATCTTCTACCTATGGTACCAAGATATTTTTTTCTGCTGTTATTGTTTGCAAGTAGTACAAAGAACAGACTGTGTCACTCCATGGATCCCTTCCTGTGCTGACACTAGGAGAGAACCATTGCAAAAACCAAGGGGAAAAGCAAGTTTGTTCCTAAGTAGTAAAAAAACATTTTTGGCAAACATTTCTGGTTTTCCAAAACTGTAGGTCTTACCATAGTACATGCATCTGATTTTCAGTTCAGTCTGGGTGGCCTTTTCCCACCCTATGTCTATATGGATCTTTATGGTTTTGATACCAGCCCTCCCTCTGGCTGAATTACAGCCTTCTATCCAATTGCACAGCACATCATTATATATATTTTTTTTTTAATATGTAAATACATTGTATTACATAGGATTTCCAGTGACCAGATGTAGATTAACTTTCCTTCTGTGATGTAACATGGGAAAAAACCTATTTCAAAATTAACAAGGATGGCAGAGTCTTAAGACAAACAGATGGGAAATATCCCAAGGGTTTCTGCAGAGTGAATTTTCTGTGGAATAAGGAAGCCCAATTCTGGCATATATAAATACAATGAAAGAAAGCAAACTTGAAATTGGTCAGCTAGTCAAATTGCAGGTGTTTAGTTTTTTCTTTCTGTTTTGCCTTTAAAAAACACTGGAATTTCCTTTAGTCTGTTTTAGTTTAAAACTGTAAAAAATTTCTAAAAGTGTTCAAATAAAGTTACCTAATTTTTGAACTGAGTTTTGCTATTTTATATCAACCTGAAGTTTGAAACACTTTTTTTTGTTTGTTCTGGGATGTGATAAAATGTGGGTTGGAATTTAAAGTTCAATGTGTGCAGCTCCCACCACGAGCTGGATTCCGTGCAAAATTCTGAAAACTTGCTCAATACCACAAACAGTGTTTGACATCCCCACACGGTCCACACAAGTAATTTCTTTCCCTGGCTTTTGTAACCCTGACAGAATTCCAGAATAGTTTGGGTTGGAAGGACCTTAAAGCCCATCCCATCCCAGACACCTCCCACTGTCCCAGGTGCTCCCAGCCCTGCCCACTGCCAGGGATCCAGGGGCAGCCCCAGCTGCTCCGGGCACCCCGTGCCAGGGCCTGCCCAGCCAATTAAAGTCGTGTGATCACTTATACTGATAAATTTGGTTTGTTTTGACTACTCTGTTGCATGTTGAAGTGCTATTGCTTGGGAAGGGAGGTGTTTACTAACAGTCCCTTTTTCTTAAAAAATGCTGAATATCTGCTGAATTACAAGGCAAGTCCCGGGTGTATCCAGGAACAGTACAAACTGACAGCAGGTACAATTCCACCCTGTTTCTGTTTAGCATGTCCTGCATTTCACTTGTAAATACACAATACACCTGAGAAGAGGGAAATTGAGAAATTTCTTGTGATATCTGACTCTAAAAAGCAACAACAAAACCAAACAAACAAACAGAAAGAAAACTACACACACACACAAAAAAAAATCCAATCCACTAAAAAATCCAGCTGCAGCAAGACAGCTTTTCTGTCTGGAGGGTCACTGGGAACCAAGAGACAGCTGCTTCCATTCAGAAAAGGCAGGTTCAAAACCAGAAAGACTGGGTTCATTTTAGATAAAGGGTAGTAAATACTAAGATACAATCTGGCCACAAAGCTCATCCTAAAGTATTGTAAACCTCAGCAGATATTATCTGAAACAATGCCTGGTGTTCTAGATTTAGGTATACATCTGCAAAATTGTGTGACCTTTATATTCTTGCACTTGGGTTATTCCTGTATCTGTTGAATAGACAAGGACAAGGATAGAGTATTTGTTACTTCAGGTTTTGTGGGTTTGGGTTGGTTTGTTGAGCAGGTTGTTGCCTTTTTTTTTTTTTTGCAAAAACTCATATTATAGGTCTTGACACAAAGAAATGCTCTGGTGGGGAATGGCACCATTCCAACAGGAGCTGTTGACTGAACTGCTGCTCTGCTGAACACTTGTGGTGGAGCCCACAGTTCTCCCCACAGTGCAGATCCATCACTAGCTAAGATCTTGACATTCTGAGCCCCTCCTGACTGTGCATTTGCTAAAGATTTGTCCGACTCGACCATTTCTGCATCTGCAGGGACAGTTTGTGTGGAGTATTCACAGGCATTTTATCTCTATGCACCTGGCTGAGTTTTGCAGCAAAACCCCCTCAGGCACCTGAGGAAGGAGGGGCTGAATTCTCCACATTCTGCCCCCAGGATGATGGCTCAGTTAAGTACAGGGATTGCCCCATGCACTGGAGCTGCCTGAAGCTGGGTTTCAGGGCACACTGGAATTCCCACCTGGAGAGCTCCTGTGCCAACTGCTGAATTACATTTTTGAGAATGTATTCAGTCAATTACCAAATTTCAAATCAGCTCATTGCCTCACTTGTGCAGGTGATTAACTGGGGAGTTCCTGGACCACCTCGGGACCCTAGGACTTGGCTAAATCTGTCCTATTTTTCTTGTGGGAACTTTAACGAGCCCTATACAGTATTGTGGTCTCTGGTTTTTCTGTTTAAGTACAATTTCCATATTCACGGTTTGTCAGTCTCACCTCCAAGATAGATTTGACTCTCTGGATCACCTCTGCATACTGCTCTCCATTAGAAGAGTTTCTTGGAAAGAGATGCAGCTTTCAGAAGAGTGTGCTTTGTGTCTCCATTGGCTCCTAGGAGTCACCCTGTTCCCTGCAGATGCTCCTGAGGAGGTTATGTTATAGTCAGGTATGTCTGCATCCTCTGCAATGCAAGCCCAGCCGTTCAAATGTTTCCTGTTTTCCTCTGTGTGGGGCAGGGAAATTCTCTTTTATGTGAAGGACTGCAAGGAAACACTGCCTG